AATAATTGAATATTAAAATCAAAGAGAGTTTTTGATGCTTCTTGATATATATTTTTGCTTTTTTTTTATACAATGACAAGATATATTTCTATTGATTTTCTTATATTATTTTAATCATAACACATAAACTAATTAATTTTATTCAATTATTTCTTTATTTTTAATTTATTTTTAGTTTTTGGCCCCAAAAAAAAAAAACTATGGCTTTATCATCTTTAATTGGTAAATGTCAATGTATTAATGAAAAATGTTTCGAAGAACAATATGCTATTTGTCCACATTGTCATCTATGGCTTTGTCTTAAACATGCATGTAATCATCAAGAATTGGTTAAAATATATGCTCATGAATTAAGTGATCAAACAAACCAACTTGTTAAAGTATTTGATACATTAACAGTTGAACAAATTTATGGTGATTGTCAACAAAAATTAGATACATGGAAAAATCATATGATAACAATTATTAATACAAAATATCAAGAAGCATCAAAAACTCTCTTTGATTTTAATATTCAATTATTAGTCGAATTTAATCAATTTAAACAAAATAGTTTAAGTGAATTACAAAATCAAATTGCCGTTCCATTATGTGATATGTTAACAAAACAAACACAAATACATCCTCGTCTATTAGATAATATTAATGTTAAATTAACAAAAATACAAAATGAAGTGAATAGAATCAAACAATTAATGCTCTTACAGGTATGGAATTTATTTGCCAGTCAATTATAGTTACTACTAATTACTATCTGTTTCAAATTAAAAGGTACACTACTGTTTTATGACTAATATTTGTATGAAAGAAGATGGGAATATTTGACAAGAGAAGAAGACTGAGGCGCGCGTATGGTTTTATAGAAAAGCTTTTTCAGAATGGGCATTAATTATCAGAATCTAGTTTTTACTCTAGATAAGACAAATAATTGAATCAGAAAAAAAGTATATCATGAAGAAATGAAAGAATATAAATTATAACTTTCTTTTGTCCACTTCACAACATATAACATAGTGAGATATCACAATATATAAACAAATGAAAAATGAAAGTTCGCAGTGAATATGTGACTTTCAATAAGTTCGACATTATTTTTAAGGAAGATAAGTGATCACTTTTGATAATTAAATGGATCTCAAGTTCATGTCAAATTTTCAACTGTGTCATCGTATTCTAAGAACGTAAAAATAGATGATGGAAATTTTTATAAAAATTAGATAAATAAATCTCTATTTGATGCAATATCTACTGTTACATTTGTCAGTGGTACAAAGCACAAAGCATTTCTTTTTTTTTTAGCGTGATGAATTTGACTATGATTTTTCATCGATTAAAAGCTAGGTGAATATAAGAAAGAATAAAATAATACAAAAAATAACAACAAAAGTAGCAGTAGCATTTAAATACAAATTCTTCTATTGAATGTTTATATAATCATTTTTTTATAAGAGATTGAGCTATCGATCGAAAATATAGTCCATTTTATTACGTTTACATCATCAATAATCAAATTTTCTTATTTCCATTTTGTAAATATTGTCATCGACATATGTTTGTCAATACTTGATACAATGTTTTAACGTATCTAAAATAAAATTAAAATAATTAATTGAAACGTAGAAGTGTCGATAATGAGAGTCGATTTTTCAGTATGTATGCCTTTGATTGACAACTCAAAACACCAAAAGTGAAAACGCAGAAATGCACAAGATCGAAAATAGGAATGGCGAAAATCTGAAATGTAAAAAAACAAAAATGTCGGACGATAGAAATAACGAAAATGTGAGTTTTAGAGGTGGAGTCGTATTTTCAAAATATTGTTTAGTAAAACTGACAATCGATTAAGCGCAACAAAATATGTGCATCGGGAAGGGAGGAATAGATGAGTGTGAGAGGATATAAGAAAATGAAGCACGATGTATTAAACATTCGTCATAGTTGAGAGACAAATCGATCGAGCTGTGTAGACACTATGGTCTATACTTGTTAATGTCACCTCATCAAACGCAGTAGCAAAAAATTTCACATAGAAACAAAAATGACCGTGTGCATAAACGATTCGCACATCTATCGAAAGAATCATGAGCAAGAAATATTTTGAAGATACGAGTCTACTTCCCAAACATTTTAATTATCTTTACGATTCGTCATTTTTGTTTTCTACACTTCAGGTTTTTGCCATTCTTATTTTCGATCTTATGCATTGTGCGATGTTTTGAGTTTTCGAGATTCGGTCATACAAGCGATTTTTCAAGCATAGTACATAAAACTGTTCTAAACAAAACTCAGACTGTAGTGAATATTAGAGGAAGTAGTACTGATACTCGAGCGAGGAATCGTCTCAAATGTTTGTTGTTACAAAAATTTCGTGGTTTATTACTAAAAACACAGTTGATTATAGATATTTTTTTGTGTTGATTCTGAATTTGATATCCGTTTAGGTTTGATAACCCGTTTTCGATGGATTATGTACAGAAGACGAGAATTTGCACATCCATTACAGATTTTCAACTGAATACATTCTGAGCGTCTCAGTTTTTAAAATTATCTATAAATAAAAAATGTTAGACTATTTTAATAGAATCATAAAATATATTTTCTGTAAAGGAATGTAGAAAATCATTCAGCTGGCTTTAACGTAGAAAATTACAATTCTTATAAGATGTCAGCAATTGAATTGCAAAAGTCGGCTACATAGAAAAATATCAATTTTAAATTTCTTAAAAACATTTTTTTGTGACAAAACTTTGAAATATTCGAATTTTCACGATAGGCAAAAATATGTGAAATTTTTAAACATACGCAGTTTTAACCTTTTGTTACCATTTCTATCTTCTGAAACTATTTTTTCCTGATTTCTCATGAAAAAAATGAATATAGAATACCATATTGAGTAGAATTTAAATTTAAACGAACAAGGAAAATTCTTGTAACACCAGTAGAATCCTTGAAATAGGTACGATCCGTTTCATGTAACTTATCTGATCTTTATTCTTTCTTATTTCATTCTAATCAATATAGCTGTGATATACCTCTTTCTCACAGCTATATACTTATATTAAGTAAAAAGAACATCGATTTTAATTTATATTGATTTGCTTATCACAAGGGGTAGGGCATTCGTGAATAAAAACATAACAGTAGGATATAGTTTCGTTAAAGCTCAATTATTTAGGTAAAATTGAACAAAGATAAAATCAAGGTCTTATGAAGGGTTTCAGAGGAGCTTCAGCAATAATTCTATCGTAAAACTGAAGTGTTTAGTAGAAAATATGATTTTCAGTGACACTGTTATGGGATAGAGTTCAGTTACTCAACTTGATTGTATTATCAAAATAATTCTTTTTTAACAAAACAAAAAACTAACCAATAAAACACTCAGATAAGAATGTACTCAGTCAAAAATTTGTAATGGATCTGTAGACTCTCAGTTTTGTACAAAATTCATCGAAAAAACGATCTACTGTCCCAAACGGATATTAGATTCGAATGAAAACAAAC